ATATACTTACTCCTCAAATGAAAATATTCATTTATATTGCTATTTAAAAATGTTAATTAAAACAATATATTCAATCAATCATACAATTAAAGAAAGAAGAAATATTAATAACATGAATATAAAACTTTTTATTTCTCTCTGAAATAAAATATTTAAATATAATTAAAATACAAGTAAATATTTAAAATAAATAAAATTTTAAATGTCCCTATCATATAATAGTATTATAAAATAAATTATAAAAAGAATAAAACTAAAATTAGAAATGCTTAATTAACAATATTTATTTATGTAAAAATAATTTTATCAAATATATCAAAGATCAACTAATAAAATGTAATCTTCTAATGGATATACTAAGATTGTTTAGAAAAGTTTTAAATTCATTAAGGTACGTCAATAACTATTATTCCCCCACATCCACATATATTAGAATAGGTTTCTCTTATATGTTTTTTGTTGTTTTCTTTGGACTTATTTACTTTCCAAATCTTTGAAATTGTGCTCTGCAAATTTAATATTTTATTTTGATATAAATAAGTTATTGTATTTCAATTTTGAATTGCAAAAAAGACGAACGATAGCAATTTCACCGAGTAAGGAACGTCTTGTTTCCTTTTAAAAATTTTTCATGTATCATGTGAAAGAAAATAAAGAAATATATAATATGGTGAAGAAATAATTATATCTTTCATTGTAAATATAATATAAAATGAATAGTGTAGCGAGATGGGTGGAGATAAGGGAAAGAATAGGAGCAGAGGAAGGGAAATGATAAATAGAGATGATAGTAATCAAATCATATTCGATAACTTATTGATTTTTTTGGAAAAATAATTTTTCATTTTGATCTCGTAACAATCATGTGATGAGTGTAGTTAAATGTTAAATAGTTTTTCAATTTGTCTAAATGTTTTTTATGGTATGGAATAAAGAGGTTAGTCTTTATGTGATTATTTAAAGCGAAATATATTGTCCCGAGGTATGCCATAGGATTATTTAAGTGTCCTGCGAACATTTATACTATAATTTATACTCCCAATTTGCTACCGTCATATTAATGCTCCTTCGGAAAAAAAATAACACTTTTCCTTAATTTAGAGAGAAAAGATGAAATTATCCTTTGGAAAAAAAATTTTTGTCCCTGAGATTTGCCATAATTATTAAGTAGTCCACGACATTTAGACAAATATTTAAACGTCCTGAGTTTACTTCCGTCAATATTAAATGGTCCTTCCATAAAAAAAAAAAAAATACATTCCGTTGAAATTTTGAAGTGGAAAAGCGAAAATTACCTTTATAATTTCAATTGACATTATTGTCATCCCCTTCCTCTAAAAACCTAAAAACCAAAATTTCAAACCACTTCTCTAAACCCAACGCGGTCTTCAATTGTCACCACCGGTCCGTCAAGTAACATCTCCATAAACCAGATCACCAACAAAACTGAAAAGGAAAAATAATATTTCGTCGCTGAGTTTCTCATAATTTTTTTAGTTTAGTAGTGCCCCCCGGCCATTTATAAAGAAATCTATAAGCTTCCTGAGGTACTTCGTCATATACTGTGTATTCGCCAAACAAAACACACTTTGCCAGTTAATTTTTAATGAGAAGATAACACCCCTAATCCTCTAATCAAGGAGAGGGACAAATGAGTGAAGGGGATATGCTGATTGAGTGGATATTGGTGTAGTTTTGGGTGGTAATTTGTTATGGAGGATGATAGTTTTTCATTGACACAGGTGGTGCAATGGAATATCTGCGTTGCGTTGAAAGAAGATGGTAAAAGAAATGTGAGTTTAGGTTTTTTAAGAGAGGAAATTAATAAATTTCAATGAAAATTAATAAAGGATATTTCGTCGTTTCCACTCAAAATTTACCGGAAAAAGATTGATTTTTTATGGAAGGACCAAGTTAATATAAACGGAAGTAAACCTTAGGGACGTTATAAATATTAAAAAATTAGGGGACTACTAATAATTATGACAAATCTCAGTTATTTTTTCAAAGGATAATTTCGTCTTTTCTTCTCAAAATTAACGGAAAAAGTGTATTTTTTTTACGGAAGGACCAATTAATATAACGGTGGCAAATCTCAGGGACGTTATAAATATATATATAAATGTCGATGACTATTTAAATAATTATGGCAAACCTTAAGGACAAAATAATAATTTTTCCTTTATTTAATTACTACTATTGAAGTTATATAGCAAACTAAATATTTATATAATTAAATTAAAAGAAAAAAAGGAAAAAATAAAATAAAATTAATAAATACATTAAAAATAATAAAGGATTATAAGATAACATGTAATAAAAAGAATTATTAAATTAATTTAGAGACTTACCATTTATATTTAAAATGATATTCTTATAATTAATATTTTCTTATAATTTAAATTTAAAATTTTATTATATAACTACTAAAAAATTTATTATAATTATATTTTTAAATTTAATATCAATTCACAATAAAATATCTATATCTAATTTCAATTTTGAATGTTGAATTTTTTTTTCTTTTTTTATTAGATCACCTAAACATTTTTTTTTTAAGTTTAAAATTTAAAATTATTACTTATTTAAACTATAATATCATATCAATTTATATTTTATATTGAATATTTTTTAGTTTTAATTTATAATTTATTTTTATTTTTGTGTCCATTTATTTATAATAATTATCATTTTTTATATCTTAATATATTTATTGTTATTGCCATTTTTGTTCTTTTGCTACTCGCTTATTTGTAAAGACAATATAACTAATACTTATTGTCTAAAAATTTGTATTATATGCATTTAGCATGTTTTAATTTATACATATATCTTTTAAAATTTTTTATTTTTTATAAATATTTATGTTTTATATGTACAATCAAAATAATAAAACAACTCGTGCAACTTGTGAGCTTCTATCTAGTTGGTAGAGCTTTTTTGGAAAGAAGAGGGAAAGATTGGCAACGGTTTCGTTAAATGTGACAAGATTGATGCGTTGCTTTAGATTAGGAGGACCTATGAATCTATTTGTTTTGACATCCTGTATGCTAATTGGTGAATATTTATTAGAATAGTATTCAAGCTAAATATCTGATATTGATAATATGAATCAATAATATATTTTATTCATAAGTGAAGAGAATTAAAGGCATATACTTAAAACCAAGGCATATATACCAAGGCATATATTATATATATATATATCATATAATATATATATATATATATATATATATATATATGAAGGGTTGAATGTTACAGTTAAAAATAAAAATTAATTGATCTAATCTTGAAATTTTCAAATAAACATATGAAGGGGTTGAATGTTACAGTTAAAAAATAAAAAATTTTGATCTAATTTAAATTCAAATAAAAAATTCTACTTGGTATCTATATCTACAGTTTAACTAGAAAACCCATAAATAATAATAACAACCAATAAAATAAAAAGTGTAACCTTAAAGCGAAAAATGCTATGTACAGTAAAACGCTAATAAGCCTCTCTAGCGGGGATCCTTTCCTTTTGTCTTTGTTGTGTAAGACAAAATTCTTTAGCAAGTTGAAGTGAGATAGACTAATAAACCAAAACCAAAGCCTGATGTAACATGTGACATAGCGAAGTGCCTCTTGAGAGAAACAAATGATAGGATCCAAGCTTCAAATCAGGTTCAAATCTAATACATAATTTTGTTGAGATATATATATATTTTTTTTCAACTATCCGGTGTCCGAAACTTACTGAGGCGACTAATCTAAATTTAGTTCAGGCAGGCCCACAAAAGGGGGCAAAGAGTTCCCTTCCAAACGTTCAAAGAAACTTCATACTTAGAATTCGAACTCGAGACCATTGATTAAGGGAGAAGAAATTACTGTCATCTCATCTCATCTCACTCATTGGGGTTAATTTTGTTGAGATATTAACTGACTATTAAGGACATATACTTTATATTTAATATATTAAAATTATAATATACCTTGTACTTCTTTTAATTTTAGTTTATCCAAACAAAAACAAAAGAATAAATCAAATTGAGAAAGGCCAAATATATAAATTCATTGTTGAATTTTGCAATTTTAACTTTTGGCATCTTAAATTTTATGAATGACTTATCATGCACTTGGTAACATTGTATACATTTTCATGCTAATAGCAATAGTTTTGAGGACTTTTGGTTTTTATATGAAAAATATTGTTTTGATATATAATTAGCATAACATTTAAAACAATAATTTTCACAATTTTCAACTATTTAATAAATATTTAATTGATCTAATTTGTAAGTAAAAATGTTTAATAAAATAATTCTACAAGTTAAAGTATTCAATAGCTGAAATTTTATAAATTAAAGTGTTTAATTTATCAAAGTAAAAATTGAAAGTAACACAAATTTAAAGTAACGAAGTCTGAAATTGAATTTATGTATTCAGCTAATTAGAAATTATAATTAACTTTATATACATATTTAAATCGTTTTATTTTTGCTCATGTAAATTCTAATACTACAATTTTTTCTAGCATAAATGTTAATAAATATTTATTATTTTTAATAATTTTAATCATTTAAAATTTCATGTAAAAAGTATAATTTTGCTATTTAATAAATTTTCTGTGAGAGTAATTTAGTCTAAATATAAAATAAAATTAAATCAATTACCAAACTACAAAATAGTGCTTTTCAAAAATAAAGCTCTAATGCATATCAACTACGTATCAAATGCATAGCCTAGTGGTAAGTGCATACGGTACGACAATTGATCCAGATTTGAATCCCAATACTCAAAAAAATAAAGCTCTAATATATGTAATAATATATGTAAGCATCCAGTCTAAATCCAACTGTACTAGTTCAAACAGAATAAAAATCGAAATTTTTTAAGATGAAATCAAAGCGATTAATCTATAAAACCAAACTGAATCAGTTCATCTTGATCGGTCGAAATTAGGTTTAGGCTTAATTAACTGAAAAATTTCAACTTTTTCTATTTAAACTATAATCAAATCAGAAAAATTTCAACTTTTTTTTCACATTGAATGATGTATACAGTGTTAGTATATAGTGCAGGAAAACAAACCCATAATTATGGAGCCTACTGTTAGTTCTTGAGATATATATAATATGATAAAGCTAAGTAATCTGAAAGTCCAATCTAAACATTTTGTAATTAAAAAGAAATGGTAAATTAAATTACAAAAACTAAAGATATTCTCCAGAAATGATGGCATATAATTTTTTGGCAGTCCATGTTACCTCAACAAGCCTTCGTAATGGAATTACTATCTCTTCTGCTATTGTCATTAACAAAACCCTGCATTCTGCACCAGACAAGTCACTATGAAGCTCAGTTCAAAAAAAAAAAAAAAAAAAAAAAAAAAAAGCATTCTGGCACCAGACAAGTCACTATGAAGCTTCAGTTCAAAAAAAAAAAAAAAAAAAAAAAAAAACAAATTTTAATTGAAAAATGCATACATCAAACAATGAATAGCTATGGCCTTTTGATTACCAAAGTCGTTAGACGTCGTTACGTTGAAATTCCTTTTTTTTTTTTTTTTTTTTCATGTTGCTTTTCTTTGTAAGCTAAATTTGCTCTGGCTTTTTTTTTTTTTTTTTTCATTTTGCTTTCTTTGTAGCTAAATTTGCTCTGGTTATATAGGAAAACTGAATTTCCCAAGCTCTTGAACTTTTCAAGCTTTTACACTCTGTTTGGATGGATGTATTTTTTTTGAAGGAATCAAAATAACCAACGAAAATAATTGTGGGAAGCAATTTTACATAGTTTGGAAAAGAATGAAAAATAATGAAGGAAAAATTAATTTATTTTCCTCCCTATCTCATATAAATAAAATCTTTCCATTTGGGAGAAAAAAAAATGGTGGAATGTTGAAATTTCTTCAGTATTTATGCAATTTACCAAAATACCCAAACTACTTTTAACTAAATATAGAAGTTATATGATCATTAAAGTCCTCTAAAAGAATAAGTTAAGTTAAAATGGTAATATATCAATATTAACAATTTTTTCCTCTAAAATTTTGCTTTTTCCAAACAAAGGAAAATAAATTTATTTTCTTTCCTTTATTATTTTCCTTCATTATCCAAATACAAGGGTGGAAAATCACATGGAAAGAAAATTAACAATTCATCATTATTTTCCTTCACTATTTTGATTCCTTTATTATTTTAATTCCTCTTCTTTCCAAACAATGTGTTACATAGTACTCTTTCTATTCCAAAATGTTTATCCATGTTTCCATTTTTAGATGTCCCAAAATATTATTGCCTTAAGAAATATTTACTTTTCTTATATGCCCTTCATTATAAATGGTTTTAAGTTCTAGGAGAACAAGTTTGGAAAAGTATTAATATTTTGTATAGTGTGACACTATAATTATTTTGTTTCTTAAACAGTGTAAAAGTTAACAGGACAAACATTTTGGGATAGAGGGAGTGCAGTTTTTCCTTTTTTTTTTTTAAATCACCATTAACAAATTTCATGTTTTTTTAATAGTTTATTTTTCCAGTTGAATGTGCATTAGAGGCTCAATAATGGAACTTGAGAAATTGAGAGATTATGTAATCAGTTTTGCCTACATGTAAATATGTTGTGCTGTCATAAGAAAAAGTTGCTAACCTGGAATCTTACTGAAATTTAGTAGTGACATTGAAGCAAGGACCTTGTGCTCAATCCTTTCACCATTTTCCAAGTTCTCTTTAAGCCTAGAGATGAGGGCAGAGAATGCAGAAATGTGGTATTCTGCATCAGATAGTGCAGAGCTTAACCATGCAATTGTGGTTAGGCATGTCTTCACTAAATCCAAGTTTCCAGCAGCTAAGCATTTTGACATGGTCACTAAGAATGATCTCTTTCCATTGCCAATTAGTGATGTTGACAAGTTCTTTAGCCACTCGTTGATGGTCTCCTCTTCATCTTTCTACACCAAAACTCTAGATAAATGATTGCAGGTTTCATAATATTTGAAGGGTCTAATTACCCAAAAAAAAAAAAAAAAAAAACCAAAAAAAAAAAAAAAAAAAAAATGCCAGAAATTAGAACATAGAGGAGATCATAAACGCACCATTGCAAAAAGAGTCATTCAAGTAATAAATCATCTTCTTCAGAATCTGTTTCATAATTATTGTTTAAACCCTGCTTGGTTTTAGCTATCCAACTTGTCTTGTCAATGACTTCCCGGGAAGCCTGAAAATCTTCCTCCCAAAGGCAAAGATAGGGCTCTGCAAGAATTTTCTCGGATTCCCAAAAAAAAAAAAAAAAAAATGCAGAATAGAACATAGAGAGATTAAACGCACCATTGCAAAAGAGTCATCAAGTAATAAATCATCTTCTTCAGAATCTGTTTCATAATTATTGTTAAACCCTGCTTGGTTTAGTATCCAACTTTCTGTCAATGACTTCCCGGAAGCTGAAAATCTTCCTCCCAAGGCAAGTAGGGCTCTGCAAGAATTTTCTCGGATCTTCTCATCAGTTAGACTGTCTTCTAGAGCCATTGCAATGGCATCAACAGCTTCTTCCTTGTATATACTGTACTCCTGAGGTTCAATCTGCAACATATGAATATTTCAACAAAAATAGTCACAGTTTTTTTTTGCCATATGTATATCTTGAAAATAAACTTGAATACGGATTCTTTGGATAAATATCCATTTCCATTCTTTCCATTTTCAAGGTGAACAAAACATGCCCTAAATGTACACTTAAATCATCAACATTCTGCTCAGGCAGTATACCAGAAGATCTAAGTGCAAAAGTAGCATAGAAACCCAAGGCCTTTCCTCTGGTTGACAATTTTGTAGATATATAAGCAAGATGCGCATTGTATTCCTTATCTCCTCGTTCTCTAACCCAGTTAAAAATAATTTAACATCCTTCCTCCTGTAATACAAAAAACACAGACAGTTGCTATAGCTCATGAGAAAACATTTTTCATGATAACGTAATTGATTTTTTAATTCTGATAGAATAAACATTTGAGAGGGTTACTCAAACTTATTACAAGAAATTATGTGTGTAACTGTGCATGAAACTAATATAAGGAGAAGAAAATTCTATGGAAGAAATATGCACAAATTCTGTATGCCTCATAGTACAGAATTACTATGGTAATGGTCTTCACAAAAGCCTGTCATTCTCTTCAATATTCTATTAATCTAACATCATTATCAGAAGAAACCTGCTAGTTAGTGAGTTACATAATTTCTTATTCTAATATACACCTCATAAGCAAGCCAAAGGAAAACTCTTTAATAAAAATATTTTTCTGTAAACATGTAGCCAACATATTGCCCAATTCAAAATTTCTCCCAAGAATAAAATTCATAGATAATTCAGAGGGATCAAGTCAACTGATATATTTTTTGGAGTTAAAAATTTTGTTTACATGCTGTTTCCCTGCCATTTCGACAGCTGCTAAGTCCCACAATTTGGCCTGTCTAGTAATATTGTCTCGTGTAATCCCAAATGGCTTTTTATGTTTATTGATTTTGTCTAACTAGCATGATTAAAAGAAGAGTGATCCCATAGAACACACGCTGACAATATTCAACTAGCTCATTCTAATCCCAACTTGTGTGGGGCCAGTTATATATACTTGCTCTCCATTATACTACGCCAGTTTTATATATACTTCCTCTCCATTATACTAAGTCTGGGACAATGCTTTCAACAATGTCTATTGATACTAAATTGTAACTGAGATCATCTATACTGTACCTCTGATCATATTAACTTCTGCAATCTGCATTAGTTTCATCCTTAAAATATTTCACTCTCTCCATAACCAAGTAATTAAATAAAAATAAAACAAACTTCACATTTATAAGTCAATGATTAAAAATGTCTCGTCCCCTAAGTAAACAATCAAGCAGATATACAGAGAAATAAAAGCACAAAGATTCACACATGCATCCGAGTGTGCTTATATATGTAGAAAAACATAAAACATAGCTGTAGAGAAAGAAAAGGAGAAGAATTTTCACAAAAGTCATTTGACCACTTCCCTAGGTGGCTTCTAAAAGCCAAAATCATTACCAGGAAAAGGAAAGTACCAACCTGCTTAGACAGAGCAATTCAGTCAGTAGAAACACAGCATTTCTTCTATATTTGGGCTGCTTGCTGTGGAGTAGCTCAAAAAGACACCGTTTGTCAACTTTTCTAGCTATCTGGTTTCTGCAACTTGCATCTGCTTCAATACAACAGGATATGAGAGCAGCCACCCGCGTTTTCTCTTCCAAATCTCCAGAGTTAATCCTTCCAATAAGAAATTCCAAGCCTCCAAGAGAGACAAAGTGTTTGGCATTTGCTACTCTTTCCTCCCTACTGAATGTAGTAAGAAGCTGCTCTAATATAAATATTGTTGTTTCATACCTTGCCATTGATTCATGTTTCACTGAATTGCTAAGTACTTGAGAGGCAACAGCCAATAGATGGCTGCAATGCTCCAATTTCCAACTGTCAATAACACGCTTCAAAATAAAATTGCTGAATGGCACAGTTGCACATTCTAATGTTTTTCCTGTTACAGGACATGTTCTATTTCCCTGATTAAACCATTCCTTGATAGCTTCTTTCTCAAAGGTTTGTCCGGTCTCAAGGGTCACCGGATTGTCAAAAAGTTTTCCAGTGAGAGGGCAAATGAAGTCCTGGGGCACGCTTTCAAGAAAGGACCCGTTATCAAAATATTCATAAGTTCCATCTAACTTATCTGCATTGTGTGAATGCAGAATTACAGTGAATTTCAAAAATTAATATTAAGGGAGAACTACAAATAACATGTTCCATTGAACTCACCTTCATAAGTAGCCAATACTTTGATAGGCTGCACCTGGAAGAGATCAAAGAAGATACTATTGGATACAAATTAACAGGAAGCATATTAATTATTAAATGAAAAACAAGGAACAAATTTTTCTTATTAGCAAATTGGCACCTCGCTTGAGTGTGAAAAAGCGGAAATAGTTAGATCATGAGAATCCTCGGTCTGTTGCAGTCCAAAGATGGATTTTGCGAAGTTCTTTAGGATTAACACATTTTCTTTTGCATTTGAAACTGTATTTAGCATGTGGCCATCTACTGCAGGTTCTTCCGGTCTATTTGACTTACGTGTTTCATCATTCATATCAGTTTCTGGTGAAACACTCACTTCAACCAACTTACGTTCCTCCTTTGATGCTGATAATATCACATTATCCTGCAAAACATTAAATTATTGAGAGCCTGAATTAGTTCATCTGACAGAAATACACAAACACACACATACACACATGCAGAGGAGAACTTAGAAGTGCATTTTAAGTTACATGGAATCTAGAGACATTTTATTCCCTCTATAGTAAGATCCCTATAATTACTAGAACTTATCATCTGAAGCAATTTTATGTACACTTTGTCCTGAATTTTCTTGATTACAAGTAGCCTAGAAGTGGAGAAATAAATATATAGCATGATAATAAAACATAACTGAAAAATATGAAGTTACTCACAGAAAGGAATTTGTTATCTGTCGCACTGTCAAGGAAATCTTTTACTCTTTCTCCATCCAGATATTTAACAATTTCAGAAGGGTATGTTAATGCTAGTTTGACTTCAACAGAAGTACTATCAGAGGTTGTTGTACCATTGTCAAATGTATCTGCCTCCACGTCATCTTTAGCCTCATAAATCCCAGGCTTAGTTGAATGACAAAATACGGCTTCATATAGCTTCTTACTAACCATTGGCTGAGGTGAGAAAGGATCAGAAGGCCTACCTAGACCTGAAGAATGATCCTGTGAATCTGCTGGCTGAACTTCATGAACAGACATGGTAGGAATATGTATAGAAGGAAGTGAAGGGGCTTCAATTCCCTCCGTGAGCCAATCCTTGTAGTAAACTGCAAACTGGTAAGTACCAGAATCTAGAATTTCATTATAAACTTTATTAAGAAGCTTAAGCTTCCTTATCTTGCTCGGTGTGTTCAGTAGAGAATCAGCTTCCTGATTGTACCACACCTTCAAATGTGAAAGATGTGGAAAGAATAGATATTCCCATAGTTCGGGCAACAGGAGTGTTCGTGCAGAAAAAGGAGAATCACAAAATACTTGCAAAAGATATTTAGCTGACACTCTATCTTTCTTCTGTAGCTTATATATCACACTTAGGTAAACGTGAGCACAAGCTGACAACCTGGAATCTGAAATTCCTAATATACATCCATTTTCCGAATTATTCGAGTTAAAATTTGCAATCATGCTTAGCTGTAATGAAGCTTTTTTCAAATCCTTTGAGCTTGCTGCCCCTTCAGTAGCCTTTTCCACTACCTCAATTGCTTGTTCAAGATTTGTAATGACTTGATGCTCAATATTTTGGTCTTCTTCATTTTCAAAAAAATTAAGGGAAGAGAAACAATTGTTATGAAGTGTGATACGAAATTCCTCATCTTTGAGGAAACGCTTGATGTGACTATTTAAGATGGAGACCATGGCTTTGACAGCAACTTCATCAAGGGCAAGTGTAGAAATTGAAAGAGATGAATCATCGCGCTTTGCTCTCTGGTCATCTTCAAAACTCTTGGCATTCTTGAAACTTCTGACAGGATTATCATATGATGATTCAGGCTTTTTCACGATTTTCTTATTTCCATCCCCAAACGTTGGAAATTTTTTGTTAGAGCTTAAACTCTGCCTGTGCTTTTCCCTATTTAATTCAGATGACGTTTCACTTCTTTCCGAGTTAAATGCTTTATCAGAATAAATATCCTTAACTCTCGCATCTTCTTTAACACCAATCTCAGTTATTTCACTTTCTTTGATACCTTCTGAATTAAGAGTCTTATTGTTTGGCATATCATTTGAAAAAATTCTTTCCTTGATTTCTTTCTTTGCTTTGACATTTATTTTTTCTCTTGAAACCAGATTATCCCTAGGTCTCCTACTTGAATTACCACTATTATTTCTTGGTAATTTACCTTTCAAAATGTATCTAGCTAGATCATCAGAACTTCTCCTTTCGAAGTCAATTCTATGGCCTGAAAAACCTGATGGAGAGTCTCTCCTTGATTTCTCTGAAGAGAGGCGAGACTTCATTGCTGCTTCTGCTCGGAAGGAAGCTCTTGATGTCATCCCTGATCTTCTTCCTCTAAATCCTTCCTCTGCAAGAAGCTCCTCCAGTGATGATGCCATTTTTCTGCTGATAACTGCAAATATTTATACCAAAGAATCAAAAAATCCAATCTTCCCTTATTTATGCATAAAGAAATTGAGATTGAAACAAGAAACGAGAACAAACTATCTGCTTGCAAGTTATCCACTATCAGAATGTCTTCTCAATTACTTCAGATTTTGCAATCAAATGAAAGAAAACGCTACATAGAATTTGATATTTTATCAATCTTTAAAAATTACAAAGCTAAAGAAAATTCCACAGCATTGTTAATTCATAACAGTCACTCTCTAATAGCATTCACTTTGACTGGCATAAATGAAGTTGCTAGGTGAAAACTATAGCATAATCACTCTCTTTAACCTTCGATCAAACACTTGGTTAGCATGACTAATTGTCAGAAATGCAAATCACATAATCTATAGTTAGTCAATCATTTTAAACAAAGCAGAATCATATAGTACGCTCCAGAAAATCCATAGATGAACCAAAAATTCTCTTACCTCACCTTGGAGCTACTTTTCACAATCAAAATTCAAACAAATGACATTAATTTCAAGAAATAATTTCTGGGTAGGAATTGATTTGCGATGCTTACAGAGAAATGGGAGAAAGACTATTAGGAGGCTAAAAGAAGGGAATAAGAGAGATGCTTGGAGAGGAAAAGCCATGAGAAAAGGTGGTGTAGTGAGTTGTCTATAAAGGACTGCAAAACAAAGGAAAAAACAAAAAGGAAATTAAGAAAGTGAAGGATCAATGTAGAGGCACATTACAATAGGCAACAAGGGAAAAAGCACGACTGAACAAAGAATGACAAAAGGAAGATGACAAATGAGAGACAAAGCAAAATGTCTATGGAATGTATGTTTGTGTAAATATATTATATGAAAAAATATAAAACATTGACTGTTTCAAGTTGGTTTCTTCCTTAAAAATAACAATGTGCGTTTAACGGTTTCAACTGCCGCCCTCTCTCTCTCTCTCTTTGGCCAGTTAAACTTAACTACATGGTACCTTATCTCTCTATTTTTTTTTTTTTTTAATGTGACATGAAGTCACATTACACATTCACAAAATAATAGTGTTGACTTGTATGATTTATTTCATTTATTGTAAATTTCCTATATAGTTGTAGACTTATGTATATATATACAACTAGATGTAAATCACAAATACACAAGAAATAAGAATGAATTTCTCCCAAAAACTAATTTCTAATAATTCAACATGGTATCAGAGCCAGCCTAAACACAATAGAGAGAAAAAGGACAGTAGAGAGAGAAAAATCCTATTTCTAGTTTGAAGCTATTGCGACCATAGGAGGGAGAATGCGTTGACACTGCACAACCTAGGAGGAAGAGGGGTTGCTGATTGGCTCATACCTAGTTTCCAGCCACCGTCAAACGTAGCCATAGGCTCACGCGCCTTTTGGCCACCTTTCTGACAGTGGCCAGTTCCGGTCGCTTCGCCTCAGTGTTGCGATGCTTTCTATCCCCTTCTCTCAGCCTTGTTCTTTCAAATATAAGGTCACTCTCCTTTCTTTGCCTTTTTTTGGATTTTTCAAACTGGATTACTATTTTTCTAGGTTATATATAATGTATGATTGTATTAAATCCACACACACATGTCGTAATTGCATGGACGATCGACTAGGGGTTGTGATAGTAAAAGCATGGGTCATGGTGGTAAAAGGATTGGTTCAACTAGACCTATTGCACACTTACCAAAAGCATCTTCTACTGGGAATTTCTCTATTGAAGAGGTACAATTATTACGACATTTTTTGACAAAACTTGACTATTCATCTACCTCAACTGCTTCATATGACAAACAAATTCTATTGAAGATTCATGGATTATAGATTCAATAGCAAACAAACATATGACAAACTCTTTTAATAAATTTTTACTGGCAAAGAAACTGTTTGCATTGCTGATGGTTCTTTCACACTTATTTCTTATATAGGTTCTATTAAGTGCACATCCACCATTGATTTAACTTCTATCCTTCATATTTCCAGTTTTTATGTAAATCTTTTATCTGTTAGTGCCATTGCGAAAGCTGCAAAGTTGAATTTTTTTTCCTACTCATTGTGTTTTGCAAGACCTGAAAATAGAAAAAATGATTGCCTTTGGTAGGTTGCGTGATGACCTATATCTTCTCAAAAAAGGTTGCAGTTCTCTGGCTCCTAGTATCCCTCAAGCCCTATTAGGAAATCATGGTAATGTTAGTCAAGAAATAATTATGTGGCATAAATGATTAGGACATCCTTCTTTTTTGGTTAGCATTGTCAGTTAGAGTACTTATGTTATGATGCTTATGAACTTGCTAAACATACAAAGAGTTCTTATATTTTCCATAATGATAAAAGTCCAGTCCCTTTCATGACTATTCATTTGAATGTATGTGGTCCTACTTCTACTGTTTGCTTATCTGATTATAACTGGTTTGTTACTTTTATTGATTGTTGTACTAGATTAACTTGAATTTACTTGCTAAAAGCTGAAAATGAAGTGTTTTCTTGCTTTAAATCTTACCATAACATGATTAGTACACAATTTGATGCAAAGGTGAAAATTTTAAGAATTGATAATGGAATATAGTATATGGTTAGAGTCAAATAGAATCATACATTAAACTAGTTGTGTGAATACTGGTGCTCAAAATGGAGAGTTTGAAAGAAAAATTAGGCATTTACTAGAGGTAGCTAGATCTCTTTTATTCACCATAAATGTTTCCAAGACTTATTAGGGAAATACAGTGCTTTTTGCAGCTTATCTCATTAATAGGACGCCTCTTAGAAAGTTTAATTTTAAAAACCCTATAACAGCCTTACTAGGTAATACCTCATATACTGTTCCTCCAAAAGTCTTTGGTTGTGTTTATTTTGTTTATCATAGGCATCGAGGCAACTTAGAACCTAGAGCTTTGAAATGTGTATTTGTTGGTTATTCTGTTGTAGACGCTCAATTTTTGTATCAGCAATAAGACTCAGTGATGATAACCTTTTTTTGTCATAGAACAAGATCAAGATATCTGATTACTTTTATTCTTGGACCGATGGTCCGTGTTTAAGAAAAGTGAGTAGTTTGACCATTTTTTACATTTTCGGATTTTCAGGAGTTTCGCATCGAAATCGGGCTGGAGAAGCACCTTGGGTTCGCTAGGGACGCGTCCTAGTAGACCACCTCGTTTTGCTGCCACTGAGACCAATTTAGTAAAAATGGGCCTAAACCGATTTTGGGGCCCACTAGTGGCACATGCCACTGGAACCCTAGATAAAGGCCACCTCATCTACCCATTTGCCTATGAATAGGCCAAGGGTTTAAGAGATGAGGGGAGGTTCTTTGATCATAAGGGGAAATTCTTGCATTTTTTCTCTCATTTTCAATTCAAGGCTACATCTAATGATTATAGCTTGAATCTTGAATGTTACTCATTAGTTTTTGATAAAATTCTCCTGAACCTCAAGATCAAACGTAAACAAACACTCTCACTGTAACAGTCTGATTTTCTTTTAGTGTCGATAATAGTGATTTACCGGTCTGTGAATAGTACCATCGGTCCGAGACTTGATATTATTTTAGTCCCATCATAACATTGCCTAAATAAGGCCAAGGGTTTAAGAAGGATGAGGAGAGCGTTCTTTGATCATAAGTGAAATTCTTGCATTTTTCTTCATTTTCAATTTCAAGGGCTACATCTAATGATTATAGCTTGAAATCTTGAATTGTCTATCTCATTTAGTTATTTTGAATAAAATCTCCTGAACCTCAAGATCAAACGTTAACAAAACACTCTCAACTTGTAACAGTCTGATTTCTTTTAGTGTCGATAATAGTTGATTTACCGGTTTCTGTGAAATAGTAACCATCGCGTCCGGGAGACTTTGATATTATTTTAGTATCCGAAAAAATTACTATGCCATATTTAATATTTATTTACTATTTTTGGAGCATGTTTGCATTGATTTAGGAGGTAGAAAATTATTTCATGAATATTCATTAGAGAGTTTGATGTATTAAATGAATTGATATTCTAAGTGTGGTTATAGTAAGAAATTAAATGAGAATTATTTTAGTGGGAGTTAATTTAATTAATTGGTTGGAGTGAAATCATAAGTAGAAGAGAATTATTTGAGGAATTATTTAGAAGCCAATTGGCATGAAGTATTACTTTAGGACTTGATCTTAGCCACACATTTTGGCATAATTAATGAGGAAGAAAATTTGACTTTCTGTCACCTTAAAGTTAAAGTTAACTTTCTTTTTCTTCTCTTCTCCTTCTCCAACACCATTTTCATCTTCTTCCTCTTCCTTCATTTTCTTCATTTTCTTACCTCCAAATTACCACTAATCTATCTAATTAAACCATGGAATAGTACTTAATTCTTAAGAATTAAGTAGTAGGAGAAGTTGAGATTGGTGATTAAAAGCCAAGAGAATTGAAGTTACCATTGAAGCAATTAAGTTGTGGTTTTTGAGTTTTGTGAATTAATAAGTAGAATTCATGGTTTAGACATGTTATTGATGCATTAAATCATGCTCCAACTATTTCTTTTGTCATTTGTCCAATTTTTGATTTTAATGTTGATTTCTCATACTTTGAAAGAGTTGGAGAACCATTCTTCAAAAGGTAAGAGAAAAAGCAAGGAGTAAGGTTTTCCAAGCTTATTCAAGCTTGGTAATAAGGTTAAGTGCAATCAATTCATCATTTCCCCTTTCTCTTGTTTAATTGTGTTTATTTTTTAGGATTTTGAAATGTATTTTTGGGAAAACTTTGTATGTTTTGGTTATAAATGATGAATTTTAATGTTAGATATGTTCTTAAGTGGACTTGGAAATCATTTTTCGACCCCTTATATTACTTCCCATTTGCTTTTCTGACTTTTCTTCATGACAGTTGTAGCTCTATTTTCTAAGCTTTCCAACACATATTCTTTATGTTCTAATTTCCAATTACTTGTAGTCCTCAACTTATTTGATTTAAATACCAAAAACTGGTCTGTTATGGTTGTCTTACCTATAACTGGTTCTGTTATGGTGTCTTACCTATATATCCGAAATGATTGTCCAGTTTGACCACTCAAATGGCCAAATAATGTCTTATATTCTTCATAAAAGTTGTATCTCTACCTCTTAGCTTTCCAAATCATCCTCTTGTGTCCAATTTGGAGATACATAGCTCAACTTATGGCTGAAACACCCAAACTGACTCTGTTGTATCGAGCCACATGCCTCCCTGAATTGAGTGCCCATTTTGACCACTATAATGACAAGATTAGGTTCTTAGTTCTTCATAAAAGTTGTTGCCCTGTGTCTTGGGACTTCTCTAGCTTGAGACTTCTCTCGTTCTGGATTGGTTTAATTTGAGTGTTTGGTTGAATAGGAATTCAATAAACATTGGACTTGGTTCTGCTGAATCAGGTCTGATCTGTTGGTTTGTGTTCTGAGCTTTTTTTTGCTATCTTATCGATGGATCTGGGCTGTGGTCCCTTCATAACATTTGTAGAATTTCGTCTTAGCTTTCTAATGAATCTGATTTCAGTCAATTTGGAGACCCATAACTAAAGTTATGTTTTAAAAACCCAGCAAAGGTCAAGTTAATGAAAATGCTGAAAATTTCTTGATATATGTACTTTTATACTATATTAAGTATATATATCTATTTGAAGCATTTCTTTTGAAGAATGTGGTAATTTTTGTAAGTTGTAAGTTGAGATATTTTTAAATGATGGGTATTCAGTAATGAAGTGTTTTGATTCAGAATTTTGAATAAGTAATAAAGCCCTTTATGAAAGAATGATTTTGCTTGGGCTCTACTATGCATGATTGAAATGTGGTATGATGAGATTGATTTGGTTATACAAAGCTATGATCATATGCTAGGGTTATCAACCCTTATAAATAGGTAAGGTG